TTAAGATAGGTCTTGCTAAGTTGTCTAGGCTGGCCTTGAATTTGTAGGCCTCCTGCCTCAGCCTCCCTCATAGCTGGTACTGTAGGTTTGTACCACCACATCTGGCTCCTAGGTGAGCACCATTGGAGGGAGTTTTCAGTGGTTTGGGGGATTTCAGCCTCAACTCCAGCTCTCCCCCCCACCCCCTGCACATCACTCTGTCTCATGTGGACCACCTCTGTGCTTGCTGTTGTCAGCATCTGGTGTGGGTGTCTCAGGGTGCTGTTTCTGGCCTGTGGGTCTCTGTCTTCCCATCTGTCACCTGAGGTTGTTACCTCTGCTCTGTGTGCCTTGAGGGTGGTGGTGAGGACCAGTCCTGGCACTTCAGGGGATGGAAGTGGGTGGGAAGGCTGTGGTTGGCAGGCGGCCATGTGTAGCAGCAAGGGCTGCGTTTGGACTGGAATGGCAGTACCTGGCCCAGCGGGCTGTCACACGGGGTCTTTGGGGAGTGGCAAGTCGAGAGGCCGGGCTTAGTTCCTTCGCACGTTTGAAGTTCTGAGTAGGACATCGTGGCTTTGGAAATCGGTTTCCCTCGTGGGCTGAGGGCCCTGCCCTGCCTTCCAGGTCAGGTACAGAAAGCCCCGTGTGCTGCAGGCCCTGCCAGGCTGGCCTGGGGAGGAAGTGTAGCGGCTTGCTCAGAGGCCCTGTGGCCAGGGAGAGGGTGGTGCTGCAGTGGGCAGAGGGTGGGATCTGAACTTTGGGACCCACCCTCAGCCTCTGGCAGTCTCTGAGCTGGAGCCTGCAGCCGGAAGCGGAGGCCACCAGGTTGTTTTGCCTGCCACTTAGGAGGGGACACAGGGAAGCTCCTGGAGTGGGGAGCTTGGCTAGCTTGGATGGACACTGACCTCAGCCTGGCCTCATTTGCTCCTGTTTCTCCCTGGGGCTCTCTCTCCTTCCAGCCTGCGCCTTGTCTGGGACTTTATGGACAAGGGCCATCCCCGGGCTGTTCCTAGCAAGAGTGGACAGGAGGTCTGGTTCCTGCGGAGGCCCTGCCCTCGGCCCTCTGGGTGACTCTGGAAAGAAATGAGTGGATGTCGGTAACCCTGGGTGTCCTGCGAGGCTGGGACGAGGGGTTGTGGTGTTAAATAGGGTGGTCAGTGTAACCGTGAGGAGGGAAGGGAGGGAGCCAAGCTGGCAGCTGGGGAAGCGCATTCCAGGCAGAGGGTACAGCAGGTGCAAAGGCCCTGCAGTGGGTGATGCCTATGTGGGAATGACGCCTGGGGGCAGAAGGAGGCAGGGGGAGGGCAGGGGGCTTGGGGACTGCAGGCTGGGAGGCGGATCTGGCAGGCCAAGCTGGGATTGCTTAGGTTTAGCCTCTGCTCCAGGTAGAAACCTCAGGATGGAGTGTACTGCCGCGTTGAATGATGAGGCTCAGCCCGAGGGCAGAGAAGGCCAAGGGGCTGGAGGGCGTGGGCTGGAGTGTCCAGAGCAGGCTTCAGGACAGAGGGGGCTTGTCCCAGGCCTGGGGGACAAGCTGGACAGGGTCAGGCCAGGCGAAGAGGAAGGGCGCTCAGGCAGGAGGAACAGAGGCAGGGAGGCGTGAGGCTGGGAGGGGCTGGGTGTGACTGGTGAGAGAGGCCAGGGTCTTGGGAAGAGCGTGGGTAGGGGAGTTCAGTCCCAGCTCAGGAAGCTGTGCCTTTGGATATTTACTTCCCCTTGCTGAAGCTCATCTGCAGAATGAGATGTTCCATCAGATCAGGATGTGACGTGCTCAGCCCGGCTCGCATGTTGTCCTTGTAGCTGTAGCCTGGGAGGCTCCCTGCCTGTGCCTCAGTGGGCCTTTCTGGAGAGCTCCACTGGCAACCCCGGGCTGGCACCCATGCCAGGCAGACAGAGATCTGAGAGGCCTGAAATGCTCAGAGCCCTGGCTGCCCCTCCCGGCCCCTCTTCTATTTTAGGGCTTAGTCTGCAGCTAATGACAGCCTGGCCTGCCAGGTCTCTCAAAAACGGCTCCACTATTTTTATGCGCAGGAGGTAGCCGGCCTGCCCTCCTCCCAGACAGGGTGAGAATGGGATGTTTTTAAGGAAACTGAGCTTGATAGGAAGGTGCGTCATTGTCTGAAATCACAGCCCAGGGATGGGGCAGGATGTGCTGGAGGGCCTCCTGGGGGTGCCAGGCTTCTCTTTACACCGTGGTCTGAATTTAGAGATAATTCTACCCTTGCCAGTAGGGCTTGGAAGGACTCCCTCCACCTCTCTACCCCCAAATCCTCACCCTAACCCTCGCCATGTCTCTTGGCACAGGCAGGCTCCATCCCTATGGGACTGGCCCTGGGGCTGGGTGAGAGCTGAGGGCTTTTCATGCCCACGGGACAGTTCCCCTGCGCTCCTTAATTGAAAGTGGTTTGAAATGGTACTCCGTAGGACCTGGGTGGTGATCGCTCCTTCTTTCTAAGAAAATATTTTTAAATAGGCTCCAGGGCTTTGACTGCAGATTGGGAAAGGACAGAAGAAAATCTTTTTATTTCCTTTTTTCTTTTGGCCATTGACTATATTCTAGGTGAAGCTGATGACTTACTGCACCTGCTCAGTTAGTCTTAAAACAATAGGCCTCCTGCCCTGACCTGCCAGGCATCCCTCAGCAAGTGGCTCTGGCCCCACGGCAGGGGCAGGATGAAGCCTAAGATTGCCTCCAACCTTCCTCCCCCCCCTTCCCCTCCCCCACAAGCTCCTCCCTGTTTGTCTGGGTAGGGGGGAACCCTGGGACACACCTTATTCTTTCTTTTTTTTTTTTCTGGTCTTTTTGAGACAGGTTCTTACTATGCAGTTTAGGCTGGCTTTGAGCTGGCACCTTATTCTTTTTTTTTTTGTTTTTTTTTTCTGGTACTTGGAATCGAACTCACGACCTTGCACTTGCCAGGCAGGCACTGTGCCGCTGAGCTAAATCCCCAGCCCCCAAGGCACCTTATTCTTGACCATCTTCCTGTCTCCTGTGTTCCCTTCTACTCTCAGGGCACCTGTGGTCTCTTGTCCTTCCTGACCCACCTGGCCTTCACCTCGCTCTGCTGCCCTTTCTCCACCTGTAATACAGCTCCTTTGGCAGCATCACAGCCTGGGAGAGCAGGACATAAACTTGGGGACTGAGAGTTAGCAGCAGAACCAGGACCAACATGCATCTCCTGGGTTTTGGTGTCACCAGGGTGCCCTCGCTGCTCCTTGCACTGCTCATTGTCCACCTTCCAGCCCTGCCTCCGTCCCCAGGGTCCCCGAAGCTCCTTTGGGATGTGGGGGCCAGCTTACCCAGTTGCCTTCCACTCATGCAGCCCTGGGAGCTTTGTTCTAAAGACAGAGGTGGGGGACCGGGGACCCCAGATCCTATCCAGGCCACTCCAGCTCTGATTCTTCTTTTCTTATTTGCGGTGCCGGCGGGGTGGAAGGTAAGGCTTTGCCTATTGTAGGCAAGAGCCCTACCGCTGAGCTACACCGCAGCCCCATCGCTGAGCTTAGGGCTCTGGGCCATGTCAACTCTGGCATGGGGGGCTCACCCCAGAGATTCCTCCGAGCAGCTGAGGAGGAGATGCGTGGAGGCAGCCGTGTGTGCCTTGCAGCTGTTGGGAGACCAGCCCTCCAGGCCCTCCCACAGAGCCCCTGTCTCCCTAGGGCCCTCTCCTTGTGGGGCGAGGGGCGGGGGCTGCATGGGCTGCACATCTGTGGTGGGTTGCGGGAGCAAAGTCTGGCGTGGTGGCGGAGTAACCTATAGAGGAGGCCTTGTCCCCCAGCTGCCCTCCTGAGTGTGACTCTCCCCTGACTGAAGCCGCGGTGCTCAGTCCTGGCCCCCAGCCTCCTCATCTGACTGGCCCCTGCCTCCGTGTTTTAAAGCTCCCACTGCTTTTCAGGGACAGGAAGGTTGTGAACCCAGTCTCCCAATCTGAGGGTTAACTTCCCGTTGGCACCGGTGGCTTCTGTAATTGAGTCCCTGTTTCCCTTCTTGTCCCTCACATTCTCCTCCTGGCCAAGCCAGCTGGTCACAGCCCACACATCTTGGGCCCTGTCCTGACCTCTGCGCTCTCCCCATCTGGCACACATTCCTGCTGTCCAGGTCCACCAGGCCTTCGTGGCCCCTGGCCACACGCACTCTGGGAAGCCTGCCTTAGTGGGCTTCGCTGTCCTCCCCCCCCCAGATAGCCTGGGCCATTCTCGCAGAAGGGGTTGGGGTTGCTTGCTGCAAAGGCTGAGTCCCAGGTCCCCTCACCTGCCCGGCACCTGCGCTCCCCCAACCCAGCTGTTTCGTCTCTTGCTGTGCCTTGGCCCTGGGGCCTTTCTCACTCATTTACCTGTGCCCAGCCTTGGAGAGGGTGAGGGCGGGGGTCTCAGGGCTATCTGCTCACCCCTTCACCTCTGATCCTGTTTGCAGGACAGGTAAGGTCAGGTAGGTACAGGGGCCTTCTCCTTCTAGTCAGGGCTGAGCCGACCTTCCCGGTGAGCCCAGGCTGAGGGCAGAGGAGGAGGCCCATGATGCCTGCACAAGTCAGAATCCGTTGCAGACAGCTGCACTAAGTCATTTGTGAGTCAGCCCTCCCAGCCCTCCCTGAGGGAACCCACAGAGACAGGGAGGAGCTCAAGGCTTCCCTGTAGCCTGGGAGTACTGGGGCCAGAGAGATGTCCCCCCAAAGGGTATCAAGAGTTGGCCAAGGGTCTTCCCTAGCAGCTACAGCTAGGCACTTGATCCTGCCCCCTGAAGGGCCTCTGCACACTCAGGGGCCATGGAGCTTTCCTGTGGAGAGCTGGCCTTGTCTGGCCGTCCCTTGGCAAGAGGACAGCCACAGTTCCAGTGAGGAAATGGAGCCCCAGGGCAGCCGAGCACCTGCTTCCTGTCAGTGGGAAGTGGATGTCTGACCCCTGGAACCGGCGGGCACGATGGTCTTGCCTGTGATCTTGGCAGGCCCATACTCAGGATAGTGGGAGGGTGAGTTTGGGGTAATGAGGGCCCCATGCTGATCCCACCCTGTTCTGTCCTCCAGGCAAAGGCTGCCAAAGATGAGCAGGAGGTGCGGAGGCTGCAGCTTCGAAGCCTGCAGTACCTGGAGCGCTACATCTACCTGATCCTCTTCAACGCCTACCTCCACCTGGAGGAGGCGAACTCCTGGCAGAGGCCCTTCAGCACCTGGATGTGGGAGGTGAGAGGCAGAGGCTGAGGGTGATGGGCCCCAGGGTGTGGGCTCACATGGGCTGGGTGGGGCATGGGCGTGGGTGTGGCTGGGTGTGGGGTCACCTGTTCCCTGTGTGTCCTTGCTGGGACCCAGGTGACAAGTGTTGCTGTGGAGGGGGAATAGTGCTATTCTTCGTGATGGCATTTTGTTCAACTCTGGGTCCTCAGCCTGGCGCCTGCACTTGGTAGGCAGGCAGATGAGCTGGGCATTGTGGTGCATATCTGTATTCTCAGCATCTGGGGAGGCTGAGACAGGAAGATTCCAAGTTTGAGCATAGCCTGGGAAACTTAGAGAGGGCCTGTATCAAAATAAAAAATAAAAATTAAAAAAGGGTTTGTAGATGTAGCTCAGTATGAAGGCCCTGCTCTGAAGGGACACCAGTATTGGCCTGGGCACTTCATGCCTGTTCTGTGCAAACGTCATCTGTGCCCTGCAAAGGCCGAGGGCAAAGGCTGCAGTGCCCACCCCTGCCTCCTCCTGGCTGTGGCTTGGACAAGCTGGTGGTTCTCGGGAGCCTGCTGTCCTCAGTACTGAAGTGGAGATAAAATTAATAGCATTGGTGTCAGCTCAAGGGTGGCAGGGAGCGGGTGAAATGCACGCGGTAGCATCTGCCAGGTCCTGTCTGGCTGGGGATGCCTTAGACGTTGTGGCTGCCACTCTCCTGTTTTATACAAGAGGTGACTGAGCATACAGAGGTTCAGTAACTTGCTCAAGGTCATCTTTAGAGCTGGGTTGCTGGCTCCAAAGTTCTCCTTGTTCTGGTCTGAGATGCCAGCCTTGCCATGGGACCTCCTGGTGCCTCTCTGCTTGGCCTTGGAGAGTGTGGAAGGGGTGGGTTGCCTGGGGACAGGAGAGACGGACAGACCTGTCTCTCCATTCTAAGTAGCAGTGGCATGTTCCCCATCCCCGGGTGGTGGGGAGAAGGTGCAGGTTGCTGGTGGGTTGAGTCTGGGGCTTTGTGCTGGAGTCGAGGGGAGGTGCCAGCTCACTGCTTGGAGCTGAGGCCCACAGCCCAAACTCCTGGGGGCTTGTGTTTGCTCCTGAGTCCCCACCGCCCTCCAGCCTCCCTTGGCCCGGCTGTGCTGCTCTGGGTAGCCAGGCCAGCGCTCCTGGGTCCCCTTGGGCATCCCGATGGCTCCTCCGTGTGGGTCTGGCCATCTGGGGCTGCTCTCCGCATACACACAGCCCCTCTCCTCTGGGTGGAGACCGCGATGCCATGATAAGGAAGCAGGCTCGGCGGAGTTAACAGCTGAGCCTTTAGATTGGCTGCGGTTGCTGAGCAGCCGAGGGACGCGCTGGGCCCCAGACTCCCCCATGTACTTCAGAGTCTAGTGAGGGGACCATGGCACACTGGAGGCCCAGGTGATACCCTCGCTCTGCTGAAGCGCTGCCTCGTTTCTGTCCCCATGCCTCCAGGTGGCATCCAAGGCCGGAGTCTATGAGATCCTCAACCAGCTGGGCTTTCCTGAGCTGGAGAGCACGGAGGACCAGCCCTTCTCCAGGCTGCGACACCGGTGGCAGGAGCAGAGCCTCGGGCCTGAGCCCTCAGCCGGCAGGGACTTCCTGTAGGGGCTTCCTCCTGGCCTCCGCAGGTCCTCTTCACTGGAGCTGGGCCCAGGGAGCTGGCCTTGCAGAAGTGACTTGCAGCTTCCTGAGCGGCAGGGCGGGGCAGGGAGCCTTGTGGAAGGAGCTTTGTCCAGGACCCACAGTCGGCACAGCTACTCAGAGGCGCGTGGACTCCAAGAGACCTGCTGTGGGCACCTTGCAGACACCTGGCGTTCAGCCCCCAGCAAGCACATGCCCCAAACTGCCAAGCAGCTGATTGTCACCTCTGTCCTCTTCTCCCCTTCTCAGAGGTTCTGATGGCCCAGCACGCGTCAGTTCCTTCCCTTGCTTCCTCCGGCTGCCCCACCTCTGCTCCCCTTTTGCTCCCTGAGCACTGCCCTGGGGACCCCAGCTGCCTGTGGTGGGTGGGTGCATTGATTACCTTAAAGGAAGCTTCACCTGTTGTCTCTCAGCCCCGCCTCCAGCCAGGGAGACTGCAAGGACGACCTGCACGGCCAGGGACAGGCCTTGCCTCTCCGTCCTGTCCCCTGTCCCTTTCCCCTGGGCTGGCGGGATGTGGAGGTCTCTGGGGAGCTGGAAACATCAGGGGACCCTTCTTGGGGATTTAGAAAGTGCTTTTAGAGGCCGACACAGCACTAAATTGCCCTGGCGCCTGGGCCACGGTGCCAGGCCACCCATCTACCCTGCTCAGGCCTCCCCACCCCCAGCCCTGGCAGGACCCAGAGGGTGGCAGAGTCAGGGGTGGCTGTTGGGGTGGCACTTGTGAGCAGTGGAATGCGAGAGACTGGGCAAGGGTGGCGTGAGGGGGTCCGGTGGGTTCCAGGCCAGCGCTGTGGAGGGTCAGAGGGTGGTTGAACTGGCTCCCTGGGGGAGCATAAAGGCCAACCCCACTGAGTTACGTGTCCTGGGATCACCTCTGTCCTCGCTTGGGAGGGTGTGGGGACGGGTGGGAGACAGGACTGGCAGCTGCCCATCGTGCCAGGGCTGCTGTTTGCTGAAACCCAAGGGTTGGGTAGGGGTAGCCCATGTGCCCACCTGGCTCCTGGGGTCAGGGAAGCCTCTCCAGTTGGGCTCATGCATTTCTGCAGAAAGACAGAAGGATGGAGCCGGGTGTGGTGTTGCACATCTGTGATCTCAGCACTCTGGAGGCTGAGGCAGGAGGACCACTGAGAATTTGAGGCTAGCCTGGGCTACATAGTAAGTTTAAGCCCAGCCTGAACTATACAGTGAGACCCTGTCTCAAAAAGACAACAACAAAAAAATAAATAAAACCATCAATAAGACGTGTGTCATTTGTTGATTGTGATATTTGAAAGGGGGAGAAGAGGCCTAAATTGTTCACATCTACCCAGTATTGGAAGATATCGACCCTCTTAGCTGAATTCTTTTGCAGAACTACTGTATATCTGCCCCTACCTTTTCAGGTTCGTTTGTATTTGTATGTGTATTCAAAGGTTTTAGTTTCTTTGCAGACAAGGTCTAGCTGGGGAGTCAGATCAGGGCTGAACTGGGAGGGATCCTTTGTATTCTCATGCTTAGCCCTGATTTTCAGTTGTGCTGGGACCACTGGCCAATCACTTCACCTCTCTGCCTCAGTTTCCCCATCTGTAAAATGGGAGAATAATACTTGCCTACCTACCTCACAGGGGTGTTGTGAGGAATCTTTTTTTTTTTTTTTTGGTATAGAGCTTTTGAGCATTAAAAGCCGCTTAAATGTGAAGTATGCCTGCTGATTTCTGTTTAGTGTGAGACAGACTTTATAGAAATTGACACAAGTTGAGTCCTTGCTCTTTCAGGGCACTGAGAAGTGCCTGTAGCACTTCTGAATCTTAGAGACAGAGGGATTTTGCAGACATCTTTCTGTTTTTACATCCCTGATCATGCCTTACGGTCTCACACTGGATGCCCAAGGCTGCATGCTGTGCCCCTACTTTAATAAAGTGACATAACAATCTAATTCTCACTAAAGTGTGAGAGAACTACTATATCTAGAGAGAGTATATGGAACAGAATGGAACTTAGGACATTTAAAAGTGGATGAACTTCAGAGGCCTCTGTGTTCTTCTCCAACACCCACGGGACCCACCTGGCTCATTCCAGGAAAGCAAGGCAGGGATTTCCAAAGTAGGGTTTCTTCACTTACATAGGGTTTTACGATTCAATCCTTTGCCCTAGGGCATTTAGGTTACTCTGTTTATAGCCTTTTTCTTTCTTTTGAGATAAATGTTGCTACTAATACATGTGCAACTTTTCAAGTGTCCCATTTGATGAATTTTTGCAAATGCAAACATCTGTATAGCTCCAACATCTGTCAAGATACATATAGCTTTATGTGGAGGTTTCTTTTGAACATAAAAATTTATAAACGATGGTTCACACTGCGTCTTCAAACACTCTTTCCATGCAGGTAGTAATTTGAGACTCTTGGGTTGCATCCAGCTGGCTTCGCCACTAACTACAGCCAGGAGAGGGACCCTGGTAGCAGTGCAGTATGGCCTCGGCACAGTGGGGACCATGCACGAGGAGTCTCCCAGGAGCTCCAAAGCTCCCCATGTCCTCCCTGGGATGCGCTTCACAGGTGCTGCCAGGAGGACCTGCCGCAGAGAGCGCCTGACCGTCCCCTGGCGACCACACCTTCCCATCCAACACCTTGCTCGCGCCAGACCTGCTCTGCCCTGTCCTTTCCTGCGCAGCTACTGTAGCCAGGCCTGGGCACACGGGAAGGAAGGGGCTGTTTCCGCCCGCCATCCTGCACCCTAGCAGGGTCTCAAGCTGCCCCAGTTCAAGGCTTGACCGCTATGCTCTCCCTTTGAAAGCCTCATACCCCCACTGTGGCCTGGAGGGCTTCCTGCCGCCCCACCCCCACCCCCGCTTCCTTTGTCTTCAAGGGTGTTCCCCAAGTGACCCGCTTGCACACCAACCGCATCTTGGCACCTGTGGCCCAGAATGGCACCTCTCCCTCCTGCCCCGGCCTCTTTGGGCATCTGCTGTGCTCTACGGGGTGAAGGTGGGCCTTCTCCGGCTCTGCTCTATGAAAATAACCCCAGTTTCCACCTACATATATTAGGGTCCCCCTGAGGTTGTCATTCTCTCTCTTGCCCTGCCTGCTGTGCCATCGCAAATGAGGGTCTCCAGTTCTGCTAACTGTGGCTGCAGGGCAGGAGCTGTGCTGTCTTTGGAGAGTGAGGGGTGGAGGTCGCGGAGGCTGCTATGATCTGGGTGAGAAAGGTGCCCGTTTAGAAGTTTTCCATGCATGCTTTCAGTTTGTCCTCCTTCAGGAATGTTCCATGTGGAAGACTCAGACGGTGGGGGAGTGTGCTCCTTCCACTTTTTAAAAAAGACATGATCTTGCTGAGTCACTAAACTGCCCAGGATATGCTCAAATTGGAAATCCTTCTGCCTCAGCCTCCCAGAGTGCTGAGATCAATTTTTATTATTTATTTATTGACGGGGTCTCTCTATGTACTTCAGGCTGGCCTTAAATTCAATGTATGTCCCAGGCTGGCACTGAGCTTGTGGCAATCCGCCTACCTTAGCCTCCCAAGTGCTGGGATTACAGGTGTGTGCCACCACGCCCAGCCTGAGATTGACTTTTAAAAATTCTTCCTAGCTTTGTGACTCAACATAAAATCTGTTTAATTTTATAGTTCTTGATGATGAATGCCTCCGTGAGGTTGAACTTCTTATGTTTATTGGCCGTTTATGTTTTCTCTTTTTTTTTGTTTTGTTTTTTTTTTTTTTTTTTGGTTTTTCTCCGGTACCGGGAACCGAACTCACGACCTTGTGCTTGCCAGGCAGGCGCTTTGCCGCTGAGCTAAATCCCCAGCCCCTATGTTTTCTCTTTTATGAATCATCTGTGTCCTTTGCGGACTTTTTTTCTTCGTGTTTGTCTTTTTTCCTGATTGTTAAGGTGGCAACAGTTTACACTATATGTTGCACTAATTGTTAGTTGTGAAATCTCAGCAGATACACATGCTGCTGTACAGCCTGTCCTCTCTACCCCCGTGTGCCTCAGTTTACCCTGGAATGCACATGTTCCCACATCCGTAAGCTCGGTTTATTTGTTGTGTTCTTTAGTAGAGTGCTTCCTTGGTCCGGCACCATATTTGGCTTCCTTTATAGTCATCATCTCATTCAACCCTCCAACAAGACTGCAAAGTAACTATTATGACCCGCATTTTACAGACTGACATACTGAGGGTGGTGAGGGCCTGGTTCCAAGCCCTTACTCCTGCCTGGAGTGGCTCCTGGAGCCGGCCCTGACTGGGAATCCTCTGTGCCATTTTTTGCAGTGGAGGAGAAAAATATCCAGAAGAAAGTACAAGCTGGGGTGACTTAGGGAGGGGACTGGGGGGATGTGATTCTTTTGAACCTTCTCGCGTAGTCTTCCTGTTCTCCGACTCAGTGGCCTTCAGTGTTTTTGTGAGGTGCTCTTCACACCCACACTGAGGGCGGGTTTGTTTCTCAGAAGTCACAAGGACTAGGTCTGCTCTGTGTCTGCGACACTGTCCTTTGAAGTTTCGCTTTCCACCGCCTCTCTGTGACTCTGTCACACCGCCCGCCACAGCCCTCGGCAAGTTTGTGCCACAGCCCTGGTCTGTACCACAGCTCTGCTCCACGCTGTCCAGAGCCGGCTCACGTTTCCTTTGAACTCCTGGGCAGCTTCTCTCTGACTTTAGCACCAGAAGTTCATGAAAGCACCCATTTCTCCTCTCCCACCTTGGCAGGGGAGGCCACCAGGCTTTTTATGTATTGGTCCATCTGATAAGGGAAAAAAGTCTTCTATTTTTATCTCAATATGATTTTCCCAGGTTACCAATACATTTGGAACATCATTTCATATATTTATCAGACACTTGGATTTACCTTCATTATGTATTTGCCCATTTTCCCACTGGGTTGTCCTTTTATTTATTGATTTACTTTATCTTTTAATATTTGGTTTTTTGAGGTAGGACCTCACAAGTGTAGTCCAGGTTGGCCTTGAATTCACTATATAGCCAAGCTGGCCTCACACTTGATGTGATCCTCCTGCCTCAGCCTCCAGGGTGCTGGCCTTATGGGGGTGCACCACCATACCCAGCCTTTAGGTTGTCTTTTTTAAATTAATAGGTTAAAATTTTAATGCAGTCTATTTCATGGTTAGATAGGTGGATGAATGAACGGTTCTTTCTCCTAGTTCATCTCATCTCGCAAATTTCTTATTTTGTCAAAGAGAAGTAGGATGATCCTATTGTAGTTAAGATGTAGTCATGTTTACACATTTTGTGTCTTTATAAGAGGCCTTTCCTGCCCAAAGTTTTCTGTGTCTTTCCTGTATTTTATTTGAATAACCTTACAGTATTGTCTTTTGCATTTTATTCTTTAATTGATCTAGAGTAAATTTTTATGAATGACATGAGAGAGACCATAGTTTTTTTTTTTCCAAATAGATTTGCAGTCACCCACCTGGTTTAGTGAGTAACCCCATGTCCCCGTGACTTGTGCTGCAGTGTTTGCCTATGTTAGTGCCTCTGTATCCTGGATCTATATATATAGACCCGAGCATCAGCCATCCTTCCACTAACCACCCCGACCCTCCCCATCCTCAGGAAGATGGAGATGGGTTGGAACCAGCCAGCCCCTCCACTGTCCAAGGAACTGGGCAAGGTCCATAGCAGGTCATGTGACTCAGGTGGCCAATCAGGCCCAAGGAGAACTTAGTCCAGGCCTTTGGATGAAGGAAGGGACCAGACACAAGGACCTTAGCTATTCTTGTGGGATTTTAGGCCAGGCTAGAAGTGGCTTTGGTTGTCACACAGCCAGGAGGTAAAAGCGGGTCTGAGCATGAAACCAACATTCGCAGGCCAATGGACTTGAGCTGAGGGTTGGCTCCTGATCACAGCTACAGCTATGTACTCTTGGCCTTGGAGAATTTAACTTAGAAATTAATGTGCTGAGCCCCTTGTGCTTAGCTGAGTTGGCTTGTGCTTTTCGCCATTGGAGGGAGCCATAATCTCTGTATGCTCCACTGTCATCCATTGATTTTTCTCCAGTACAGGGAATCAAAGCCAAGGGCTACATCCCCAGCCTGCCTGCCCCTATCTATCTATCTATCTATCTATGTATCTATCTATCTATCTTGTTTTGAGGCAAGGTCTCCCTAGGTTTCCCAAGTGGGACTTCAGCATGCGAGCTGT